CACAAGAAATATGTTAAATATTAAAAAGCGTTCTAGAACAAGACATCAAGTGAAATGTTTTTGTAGTAAATGTAAAGAAATTTATGTTGACCTAAGAACTAAAAACAAACATTCAATAAACGCCACAAACACATCCATTTCGTTACAAGATGAAAATAATCTGATAATTGAATCATCACGATACTCATTTATTAATAAAGAATTTTTCATCGAATATCAAGAAGATGTGTCGCAATTGGATAATTTAGTAATACTTTCTTCGAAAATGAGAAAACGGAATAGAAAAAACACTCTTTTGGAATACGACAAAATAAATCAAGAAGTTTTTAGTAGTAACGAAGATGACCATAAAGAAATTAATAATGATATTGATAATATCAATAATTATACGAGTTCTGATAATTCTGATAGTTCTGATGGTAACGATGGCGATGATAATGGCGATGATAGCAATGATGATGATGATGGTGATAATGGTGATAGAAATGGTGATGTTGATGATGAAACTAACATTTTCGAAGATTACTCTCCTCCAAATTATGATTTTCCAGAAAATTTTAATGATTTGCAAAATATTGACGAAGATTGGATTATCGTATTTATTTTAAGATTTCAAACTAGATTTCGTTTACCAGATATTGCAATTGATACGTTAATTAAATTTGTTAAACATGTTTTAACAGAATTAGATCATGAACGGTTTAAAAATTTTTCTACTTCTTTGTATACTACAAGAAAGAAATTGGGATTGAAGCATCAATTCGTCACTTTCTCTGTATGCTCTTCGTATCATAAGTTACAAAATATAGATGATGTTGAACAATATACAATTCGTGAGCAGAAAGTAATAAAAAAATGTGATCATATACAATTTCCAAATAATCACCATCATTCTCTTCAAAAATGTGATACTCCTTTATCAGAACAAAAAGAACTAGGAGGTAATAAGATTGTTAATTCACCATTATTGATTTATCCAATGGCCAGTATAAAAGATCAACTCTACATATGTACCAAAGGCTGGATTTTAAAAAAAATCTTAAATTATGGGCTGATCGAAATGTTGAAAGAGAAATACTGTGATATATATGATGGTGAAATTTGAAAGAATTTTTTAAATAGCGGAATGGTATATAATGCAAATGAAGAGAAAATATCAGATGAAGAAAAATTTTTCAATAAAGAACATGCAGATGATCATTTAGGTATTATGATCAATGTTGACTGGTTCCAACCGTTTGAAAGAACAGTTCATAGTAGTGGTGCTATATATGGAGTTATTTGTAATCTTCTGAGGAAATTACGCTTTAATACTGAAAATATGCTTATTTTAGGATTAATGCCAGGTCCTAATAAAGCAAGTTTACACCAGAT